AGCTGCTGGAGAAGAGCCGAGAACATCACAAAGACCTTTACACAACCTTCATCAACCTCAGCAAAGCTTTTGACACCATCAACCTTGAGCTGCTCTGGAAACACCTCTCCAAAAATGGGGTACCACCCAAGTTTCTCAGCATCCTACAGCAACTGCATGACGGGATGCAAGCCAGAGTGCTCACGGAAGAACTTCAGTAAGAGCCTTTTGAGGTAAACGTTGGGGTGAAGCAAGGCTGTGTCTTGGCTCCAATGCTCTTTAACATCCTCCTCTCTGCCATCACCTGCCTCTTCCATCGTGTCATGGGACATGAAGACAGTGTTCATGTGGAATACCGACTTGACGGAAGCCTTTTAAAGATCCGTCGGCTTCAGGCCCGCACAAAGACCCGCCAAATCTGTGAGCTTCAGTATGCTAATGACTGTGCAGTCTTAGCCCACAGCCCAGACTCTATGCAGCACGCCCTTGACACAATATCTGGGGATTTTGAAACCGGAACCTGAAGGTTAGTACCAAGGTTGCTGATTACAATGCGGTATGTTTCTCCATTCTGCTTTATGGGGCAGAGTCATGGACCCCATACCGCCAGCACATCATCAACCTGGAGGCCTTCCATATCCGCTGCCTACAGAAGATCCTCAGCTTGTCCTGGAAAGATCGAATCCCCTGTCCTAAGCAACACTGACTCAATCTGTATGGAAGCAGCTGTGGCCATAAAACATCTGCGTTGGATAGGGCACACCATTCGCATGCCTGAACACCACCTGCCCCGCCAAGTCCTCTACATTCAACTAATGGGCGCCAAGCGCTCCGCTGAAGGGCAAAAGCGGCATTTTAAGGACTATACCAGGGACCTCCTAAAGCGAGCGAACATCCCCCTCACGCAGCTCGAATCTTTGGCACTCGACAGATCAGCCTGGCAGGTCACCTGTGCCACTTCTGCAGTGAGTGAGTGAGTGAGTGAGTGAGTGAGTGAGTGTGTGTGTGTGTGTGTGTCCTCACTGAGCAGCTCTCTGTAGTCGTTCAGCTGTTCGGCCTGCGCATGCACTGTTGCCTCTGACACCATCAGTCTCTCCTGCAGCTCGCGGCTTTCCTGACGACTGACAGCCAGGTCGCTACGGAGACGCTCTGCCTGCTCCCGAAGCCCCGCCTCCACATGCTGCCAGAACCCGACGGCTCCGCCACCTCCGCCGCTCGACCCGTTGCTGTCGCCCTCGACCTCTCTCTCCATTTCCTCATCCTGATCATAAAGCAAACACACTGAAAGCTTCACACACACACTGCACAGCTGAAGAGTGTGTGTTCAACATAACAGATAATATCAGTGAACGAGCCCCAATGTTCTGACCTGAACTTTTTAATACTACAGTCTGCACTGTATGACAGTTAACCAGGTCAGGGTGAGTTAACAGTTCAGGCTGAACCATCGCTAGTGATTGGTTACCTGAGCTTCAGGTCTGTGTGACAGCATTAGTGATTGGTTACCTGAGTTGCAGGTGTGTGTGACAGGAGCACTAGTGATTGGGTACCTGAGTTGCAGGTGTATGTGACAGCATTAGTGATTGGTTACCTGAGCTGCAGGTGTGTGTGACAGCATTAGTTATTGGTTACCTGAGCTTCAGGTCTGTGTGACAGCATTAGTGATTGGTTACCTGAGTTGCAGGTTTGTGTGTGACAGCACTAGTGATTGGCTACCAGAGCTCCAGGTGTGTGTGATAGCAGCACTAATTATTGGTTACCTGAGCTGCAGGTGTGTGTGACAGCAGCGCTCCGAGGTCCAGTGAGTGTGGTCTTGTGCATCTCCTCTTCCTCCTGCTCTCCCGCAGCTTCACACACGGCGGCCCGCGTTTCCCTAAAGGCACTCTGACATCTTCCTCTCCATCTTCATCGTCAGACTCTTCCTCCTCTTCCTCGCTGCACGTACGGTAATCTCTCTGAGGCTCATGGGAGTTTCTCCGGTCTGCTTCACACTTCTCCAAGCCTCGACTCCTCACACACACCTCCTTCACTGCTGATCCAGACTCACTGTGATCCAGTGCAAGACGTTCTTCAGGTGTGTTTCTACGAGAGCAGAGATACGACACGCATCAGAGCAGCAGACAGAAGCTGGTGTGTGTGTTTGTGTGTGTGTGTGTGTGTGTGAAGCTGATGGATGTTATGTTATACCTGACGTGAGTAAGTGAGGAATCCTCAGCTTGGACCGTCACTTCAACCATCTTACATTCGTCTTGATTTCTCTCCACCTCATCACATCTTACCCCCTCTGGTGCATTCTGGGACATCACCGGCCTGCCGCCCTCCTCAGCTCTCTGACAGGAGAACACAGTAAACTACAAAATAACTCCTAACTGTGTTAAAGAGTCCATGAAACGGCTCAGTGAGCCCTGCTTTCTTTCCTATGTGTGCTGATGCGTTTCCTGTCGACACAGGATGTCAGGTGGAACTTATCAAAGGGAAGAGCCAACTTATAAGGAATATTAGATTTTTAGAAGGAAAGGCTTTACATTTAACTGTGTTTATGAGTTAGATAAAGGAGCTTACAGCTAGACGTGAATTAAACAAACGTTTGAATGTCCTGTGGTCTTCACAGTAAAGTGTGGCCTTCAACAGATCAGATCATCAGAAGGAGTGTGTGATCACTAATGCTGAACGAGTGTGTCTCTAGTTACCTGCGCGCTCGTCAGACTCTGAGCCGTGAGTGTGATGTCATTGTCTTCGATGCTGTCCGTGAACTCTTCATCTTCATCACTGCTGTCATGATCTTCATCATCTTCATCACTGCTGGATTCTGGAAGGAAACATGACAGAAACTGACACACATTCCTCTTCACACACTGTTTCATTCTGTCTCTCTACGTCTCTGATTATCTGTGTTTCCAGAGCCGAACCTCCAGCCAAACCTGTTTATCATCCGTTCTTCTGTCCTGCTGCCTTTCCTTTCTTCCTTCTCATTCCCTTCCTTCCTTCCTGACAAGAAGCGCCTGACATCAGAGCAAATTTAAAAGTGCTGGCTAATGCTAATCGTAAATTCTCTAAGATTATTATTCACGTCGGCACTAATGATGTTCGACTCCGCCAGTCGGAGATCGCTAAAATTAACGTTAAAGAGGTGTGTGAACTCGCAAGTACAATGTCAGGCACTGTAATTTGCTCTGGCCCCCTTCCTGTTTGCAGGAGTGATGAGATAGTTAGCAGATTGTAATCACTGGCTGGCTGAAATAATATAGAATTGGAAAAGTTTTTGGGGCAGACCTGACCTGTTGAAAAGAGATGGTATCCATCCCTCCTGGGATGGTGCTGCTCTTCTCTCTAGTAATATGGCACATAGTCTTAAGCTCAAACATGACGATCTGGGGCTCAGGTCAGGAAGCAGACAGACTGGCTAAACCGACCGTCTGCCAGCTGTCTCACGTCACTGAGGTCAGATAAATCCCATCACATAGAGATTCTTTCACCTAGATATCATCACATAGAGACTGTGTCTGTTCCCCCGAACTAGGAAATACAAAAAACTCCCAAACCTATTTAAGGGTAAAAATGTAATTGATGTTCAACATATAAAAACAGATATAATACAAATGAACAAATGATAAAGCTCAGGTTGCTGAATATTCGATCCCTTACTTCAAAAGCACTCATTGCTAATGATATGATCACAGATTATAATCTAGATGTGCTGTGTTTGACAGAAACCTGGCTAAAACCAGACGATTAGATTACTTTAAATGAGTCCACCCTGCAAGATTACAGTTATAAACATGAACCTCGTCTGAAAGGCAAAGGGGGAGGTGTTGCTGTAATTTATAGTAATATCTTCAGAATTACTGAGAAGTCTTGTTTCATATATAATTCTTTTGAAGTGTTGGTGCTTAATGTAACACTATCTAGTGTAAGTGATAAATCCTGTTTGAGATTTGAGCTGGCTACTGTATACCGGCCACCAGGGCACCATACAGACTTTATCAAAGAATTTGCTGACTTTCTATCAGAGTTAGTACTGGCTGCAGATAAAGTCCTAATTGTTGGTGATTTTAATATACATGTAGATAGCGAAAAAGATGCATTGGGATTGCCATTTAAAGACATTCTGAACTCAGAACTAGTCATTGTCGTTTATAGCCAGCAGCCATATCACCCTGTAGCCCAAGACTGGTTGCCCACTGAAGCTAAGCAGGGCTGAGCCTGGTTAGTACCTGGATGGGAGACCTTCTGAGAAAACCAGGTTGCTGCTGGAAGAGTTGTTAGTGAGGCCAGCAGGGGGCGCTCACCCTGTGGTCTGTGTGGGTCCTAACGCCCCAGTATAGTAATGGGGACACTATACTGTCAAAGAGCACCGTCCTTCGGATGAGATGTTAAACCGAGGCCCTGACTCTCTGTGGTCATTAAAAAATCCCAGGATGTCTTTCGAAAGAGTAGGGGTGTAACCCTTCTGGCCAAATTGGCCCAGTGGCCTCTGTCCATCATGGCCTCCTAATCATCCCCATATATATATACCTGTTGGCTTCATCACTCTGTCTCCTCTCAACCAGTAAGCTGGTGTGTGGTGGGCGTTCTGGCGCAATATGGCTGCCTTCACATCATCCAGGTGGATGCTGCACATTGGTGGTGGTTGAGGAGATTCCCCCTTCCATGTGAAGCGCTTTGAGTGCCTAGAAAAGCGCTATATAAATGTTAAGAATTATTATTATTATTATTAATAATACTCTAGATCTAATATTGTCACATGGAATCAATGTTTATGCCGTTGAAATTCTGTAGCAGAGCGATGACATCTCAGATCATTATCTAGTCTCGTGTAAACTTCACTTAGCCAAGGCTGCAAAGCTGACTCCGTGTTACAAATATGTTAGACCTATCACTTCTGCCACTAAAGATTGCTTTATTAATAATATTCCTGATCAATTTCATCTCCTCAGCATCCCAGATAGCTTAGAAGAACTCGATATTGTGACAGAAACTTTTGACTCTTTCTTTTCCAGCACTTTAGACACAGGTGCTCCGTTGCGGTTAAAGAAGATTAAAGAAAATAGTCCAACGCCGTGGAACAACGAGTACACTCACTCAGTCTTGAAGTAATAGTTCAAAATAGTTCCTGTTCACATGGCTACTCGGAAGTGATAAATAATTCTGTATTATACATTTTTAAGGCATGACAAGTAATTTGTTTAGGTCAATTTGTAAAGAAAGACTACATGCCTGCACACATATATATTCAAACGCACATACCTATAGACTAAACACGTAATACGCATGTCGTCAGTGTTTTACAGGTTTGCGTTTTTAAAGCTTGCGCAGAGATAAAAAAAAAAATATATATATATATATATATACATATATATAATTTTTTTTTTACTTCACGGCTTGCACCATGGAACCTATTTCAGGGAGTGCGTTCTCGAGACACCAGGCACTGTTGTTGTGCGAATGAGCGGGCCGGAGTTAAGGGTTTTCTGTTAGAACAGTGTCGAGTAAGTTAATAACTAATGATCTTTGCAACGGAAGGGAATCGATCAAAACTAACTTTAGCTGGACAATAACTTTATTCTAGAGCTGCTGTAAAGTCAAAACAATCTGATGACAGAAAGATTATTTCTGTGGGAACATTCCCTTTACAGTTACTTTCTGCTCTGCCATTCTAGAAACATAAGACGAGAAACTACAGTAACAAAGAAAGAAAGAAAGATTGCTGTAGTACTGCATGAAATATTAAACTAACTATGAACTACAGATAAGCAGTTACACTACAGATCAAAGTGTCTTTATTCCACTCATGCTCATCAAAGGATCATTGGCATCTATAAATCTTCAGATACGTATAAAGACAATAATGTGATAAACTGTATGAATGGAAAATGTGTGCATGTTGTCATGCAGGACAGATAAATATAGATGTTGTGTTTTATATTGATAATGGTGCAAAGACCCAGAGATGGTGTTCTAAAAGTCACTCGTTCAGCTAGTTTAAGATGTCAAAGGTTCACAATGCCTCAGCTAGAGTTTAAACCATCAGCAGTAATACTGGCCATCGTCACAACAGGAAGTACATGGGAATGCCCTATGGTGACCTCTGACCTTCAGAATTATCTGATAAAGAGATGGGCGACCAATGGAGGATCTAAACATCAGATTGACTTATTGTTTATTAAAGGCAGAAGTAACGTTATATCCTGGTCCTCACACTGTCAAAGTCGAGGAAGCCGATTAAACCAGCAGTGAAATCCTGCGATATACAGTGTGTGTAATGCAGTGAACAGCACCAGTTCAACAGCGCATGCTTTCTTTGGCGTTTCATCTTATAGTTTAGCTAATGATTTTAAATCTGCATATTGTCATCAAACCACACACAGTCACAGCCATGCAGATGTGATGAACGCTCTGCATGCATGTGTGAACGACTGCTAAACTGTTCAATGATAAATCAAAACAACACGTGACTAGTGGCGTCTTCTCTGTAGACTTTTCCAGTTCACACACACTCACCTGTGATGTTTACGTTCCTCTTAATCTGAGGAGGAATTATGAGGAAGCAACTATCCTGATTCAGGGATTTCTGACTGTTCAAAATATAGAATAAAAATACAAAAAATACAAAAGGGTATCGGCCAAGAAATCTGCTTAGATTTATTTCTTTTCAGTTTGAAGTACATGAAATAGATTTCATTTTTGCAGTTACAAGAACAAAGCAAGCTAAATGATGCAGTAAAATCAGTGTCATTTGGCACTAAAGTATCGTCTCGTACACAAACAGGGTTAAAGTTAGAGTTAGAAGCCCACACGACTGCTGAACTCACACACACGGCTCGAGCATAAACACAGTACAGAGGAACAGCATATTTCTACATTTGCTTCTCATAAAACGAGTCTGTGTAATTCAAATGGAACATAAGGCTATTTCTGTATCTAGAGTGTGTGAACTCAAAATCATGAATGAATACAGAACATCAACACCACACACACCATTCACAGGCAGACTACTGGGTAAGATGGATTAAACACACACATATATACTGTACAAACACACAGTTCTGGCGGGTTATGATCCTTCATGCTGGACTAGAGCTTCATTCAGATTAGCGTCGGCGCCGGAGGCCAAACTCTGCCATGTCCCACCTCCATAATCGTCCTGGACCTGTGCGGCCCGGTCCATCTCCAGTGTGTGTCGGTCCATCGCCAGCGCTGTGTGTCGACTCGTCTCTAGTGTGTGTCCCAGCAGCTCCCGCAGCGCCTGAAGAGAGTCCAGCTGTTCGTCCAGTGCTCGGGTCTTCTCAGCGCTGCTGGAGTCCAAACACACACAGGTTACATCAGAACCTTCACTCCAAACACACACAGGTTACAACAGAACCTTCTCTTCAAACACACACAGGTTACATCAGAACCTTCAGTTCAAACACACACAGGTTACATCAGAACCTTCACTTCAACCACACAAAGGTTACATCAGAACCTTCACTTCAAACACACACAGGTTACATCAGAACCTTCTCTTCAAACACACACAGGTTACATCAGAACCTTCAGTTCAAACACACACAGGTTACAACAGAACCTTCACTCCAAACACACACAGGTTACAACAGAACCTTCACTCCAAACACACACAGGTTACAACAGAACCTTCTCTTCAAACACACACAGGTTACATCAGAACCTTCAGTTCAAACACACACAGGTTACATCAGAACCTTCACTTCAACCACACAAAGGTTACATCAGAACCTTCACTTCAAACACACACAGGTTACATCAGAACCTTCTCTTCAAACACACACAGGTTACAACAGAACCTTCAGTTCAAACACACACAGGTTACATCAGAACCTTCTCTTCAAACACACACAGGTTACAACAGAACCTTCAGTTCAAACACACACAGGTTACAACAGAACCTTCTCTTCAAACACACACAGGTTACAACAGAACCTTCTCTTCAACCACACACAGGTTACAACAGAACCTTCTCTTCAACCACACACACGTTACAACAGAACCTTCTCTTCAACCACACGCAGGTTACATCAGAACCTTCACTTCAAACACACACAGGTTACAACAGAACCTTCACTTCAAACACACACGTTACAACAGAACCTTCTCTTCAACCACACACAGGTTACATCAGAACCTTCACTTCAACAACACACAGGTTACATCAGAACCTTCAATCCAAACACACACAGGTTACAACAGAACCTTCTCTTCAAACACACACAGGTTACAACAGAACCTTCTCTTCAACCACACACAGGTTACAACAGAACCTTCAATCCAAACACACACAGGTTACAACAGAACCTTCACTCCAAACACACACAGGTTACATCAGAACCTTCAATCCAAACACACACAGGTTACATCAGAACCTTCACTCCAAACACACACAGGTTACAACAGAACCTTCACTTCAACCACACACAGGTTACAACAGAACCTTCAATCCAAACACACACAGGTTACAACAGAACCTTCACTCCAAACACACACAGGTTACATCAGAACCTTCACTCCAAACACACACAGGTTACAACAGAACCTTCACTCCAAACACACACAGGTTACAACAGAACCTTCACTTCAACCACACACAGGTTACAACAGAACCTTCAATCCAAACACACACAGGTTACATCAGAACCTTCACTCCAAACACACACAGGTTACAACAGAACCTTCACTCCAAACACACACAGGTTACATCAGAACCTTCACTCCAAACACACACAGGTTACATCAGAACCTTCACTCCAAACACACACAGGTTACATCAGAACCTTCACTCCAAACACACACAGGTTACATCAGAACCTTCACTCCAAACACACACAGGTTACAACAGAACCTTCACTCCAAACACACACAGGTTACAACAGAACCTTCACTCCAAACACACAAAGGTTACAACAGAACCTTCACTCCAAACACACACAGGTTACAACAGAACCTTCACTCCAAACACACAAAGGTTACAACAGAACCTTCACTCCAAACACACACAGGTTACAACAGAACCTTCATTCCAAACACACACAGGTTACAACAGAACCTTTACTTCAACCACACACAGGTTACATCAGAACCTTCTCTTCAACCACACACAGGTTACAACAGAACCTTCTCTTCAACCACACACAGGTTACAACAGAACCTTCATTCCAAACACACACAGGTTACAACAGAACCTTTACTTCAACCACACACAGGTTACATCAGAACCTTCTCTTCAACCACACACAGGTTACAACAGAACCTTCTCTTCAACCACACACAGGTTACAACAGAACCTTCTCTTCAACCACACACAGGTTACAACAGAACCTTCACTTCAAACACACACGTTACAACAGAACCTTCTCTTCAACCACACGCAGGTTACATCAGAACCTTCACTTCAAACACACACAGGTTACAACAGAACCTTCACTTCAAACACACACGTTACAACAGAACCTTCTCTTCAACCACACACAGGTTACATCAGAACCTTCACTTCAACAACACACAGGTTACAACAGAACCTTCAATCCAAACACACACAGGTTACATCAGAACCTTCAATCCAAACACACACAGGTTACAACAGAACCTTAACTTCAACCACACACAGGTTACAACAGAACCTTTACTTTAACCACACACAGGTTTCATCAGAACCTTCAATCCAAACACACACAGGTTACAACAGAACCTTTACTTCAACCACACACAGGTTACAACAGAACCTTTACTTTAACCACACACAGGTTTCATCAGAACCTTCAATCCAAACACACACAGGTTACAACAGAACCTTCTCTTCAACCACACACAGGTTACAACAGAACCTTCACTTCAAACACACACAGGTTACAACAGAACCTTTACTTCAACCACACACAAGTTACAACAGAACCTTTACTTCAACCACACACAGGTTTCATCAGAACCTTCACTCCAAACTAGGGCTGCACGATATTGAAAAAAAAATTACATTGCGATATTTATTTCCTAACGATATATATTGCGATATTGCAAGCCATCAATCCAGGCTAAAGTCAATAATTACCATTCCAATGATATTAATAAATTCACTAATAAGCAAGCTGACAAAAAGGTCACTTATGTTTTATTCCAAAATTAGAATATATTTCTGTAAACAGAAAAGCAGAACAGATTTTTAAATAAAAAAGCAGCTTTACACCACCAACCCTCTGATTGGTTTACAAAAATATAACTGAAAATAACTGTGTTTTTTTTATAAAACAACTTATAAGCATCTTGGTTCACAATCTTTTGTTTTTAAGTCAACTTTTCTTAGCCAAAGTAAAACAGTGTTGGTCATCATCATCATAATGGCTAAATATATGAAATAAACAAAATGAAATAAAACTTTAATACATTTTGTATTAAATCTTCTAAACAGAGTATTAGAACATGTTTCTGTAAACAGAAAAGCAGAACACATTTAAACAGCAGCTTTACACCAACCCCCTGATTGGTTAAAAAATATATATAAATTAAAATAAATATATAACTTAAAATAAATATTTTTTTATAAAACAACTTAAGCATTTTGGTTCACAATCTTTTTTAAGTCAACTTTTCTTAGCAAAAGAGTGTTGGTCATCATTATAATGGCTAAATATATGAAATAAACAAAATGAAATAAAACTTCTCCTAAACTGAGTATTCTTTAGCATGATGCATGCTTATGTATTCTGTATGCTTTGCTTACTCAAGGTTTTTAGCTAAGAACACAAGTCTATCAACCTTTGCAGGCTTGAGACAGGTTCGTTGGCAAGTGACGATGTTGCCACTAGTACTGAAAAGTCTCTCTGACGGCGAGCTTGTCGGAGGAATACACAAGTATTTGCGGGCAAGTCTGGCGAGTCGAGGAAAGCTTAGTTTGTGTACTTTCCACCATGCAAGTGGATCCTCCTCTTTGTCTATTGGAGGTGTTAGCATGTAGGTGTTTAACTCTGCTTCCACAGCATCCTTTAGGGTCAGAGAGGAATCACCCTTTGCAACAGTTTCACTCTGTTTAAAGAAGCTTCCCAAGGACTTCTTTGCTTTTTTTGCCTCGGGTGCACTGGCACTGGCACTGGCACTAGGCTCCACGTCAGTGCTGCAGCTTGATTTCTCCTGGCATTCCATCATCTGTGATGCCACTCTGGCCTTAACTTGGGTCTTCTTGTCTGCACTGATGAAGTCCATCTTGAACCGGGGGTCCAAAAAAGATGCCATATCTAGCAGCTTCTGAGTATCATCATCTTCGTATTTCTCGTTGAGGTAGTCCAGTATCTTCTTCTTTATGTTCTTGGTCAGGTCTGTGTCTTCCTCTTGCATCTCCAGTAGTGAAGTGTTGAAGAGCTGAAGAACTGGCTTTACAAAGGAGACACTGACGTATTCATCCCCTGAAAGTGCATCAGTGAAATCCAGCAGTGGGCCCAGTGACTTGCTAACTGATTCCAGGACATCTATATCTTGCCAGGTTGGAATTAGATGCCGCACCTTCTTGTCTGCAGACAGGACCTGAGTTAAAGCCTGCTGCTGCTCTAATATCCTGCTGATCATCATCTGTCTGGAACCCCATCTTGTTTGGCATTCTGAGATGAGACAATGTGATGGTAGATTGAGTTCCTTCTGGACTTTTGCCAGGGCATCGCTGGCCTTCCAGCTGTGAGAGAAGTGGCTCACCAGCTTCTTGCAGACTCCTACAGCACGATCAATGCGACCATCCTTTTTCACTGCATTTTCTAAGCGGAGAAAACAAACAAAACATTGCAAACTTTAATTATTGAAGCACACTATTTTATTTTTTAACAATAAATGTGGACATATATATATTTTTTTTGCCACTGATTAAATAAGTTGTTTAAAATTAAATGTTTAGTTTCTTTTCTTTTTTTCTTACGTTTTAAAGCTTTACAAAATGCAACACATTTATTTTACAAGTTTTTGTCAGGTTCAAGACAGGTTATTAAGTAAAAAACAGCTGAGTAAAAATTTATATTTAGGATAAGGATCATGGTCATTACTCACCAACTGCAAGATGCAGTCTGTGGCCGAAGCACTGTAGCCTGGTCCACTTGTTCAGATCGGCAGCTTTCACCATGTTCGCTGCATTATCTGTTGTTATACAGACTTGACGTGTCTCATCTAAGCCCCAAGCCGCCACCGCTTCTCTCAAGGCCTCTCCGATATTCTCGGCTGTATGACTCTCCGGGAAAAATGCCGTCTGCAAACAGCGGCTTTTTATCTCAAAGTCCTCTGTGACGAAATGGACGGTCAGACTCATGTA